CGACCCGGGACTGGCTGCCCCCCTCCGGGACCCCGGGACCGGCTGCCCCCCGACCCGGGACTGGCTGCCCCCCTCCGGGACCCCGGGACCGGCTGCCCCCCGACCCGGGACTAGGGTGACCAGACAGCAAGTGTGAAAAATCGGGACACGGGTGGGGGTAATAGGCGCCTATAGAAGAAAATGTCCCAACTATCAGGACTGTCCCTATAAAATACGGACATCTGGTCACCCCTGCCCAGGACCCCGGGCAGGCTGCTCCCGCTAGACCTGGGGCAGGCTGCACCCACTGGCATAGAAACAGGCGCCCCTCATTGGACCTGGGCCAGGCTAAGCCCAGACGGGAGCTGGGGTAAGGATGAGGCTACATGGCATGGGGTAAGGATGAGGGCCGGGCTGCAGGTCCCTGGGTGGCTGGAACCGCTGCTGTTGCTAATTCTCCAGTGCGATGGCCCCTCCGCCGCGCCTCTTGCCTTGCAAAGGACATTTGCTTATTGGCTTTCCTATCCGGTCAGGGTTTATGTTCCTTTTGGGGGGACAGCGTGCAGTGTCCCATTGCAGGGGGGATCCGGATGCCTGTACCCAGAAAGCGTTGGAATTCTCAGCAGAACGTGGGCTCCTAGTAGACCATTGCAGTCTCCTCTCTCTGCTTCTCTGCAGGGCTGAAGAGTTAAATCCCTATTTTTCTTTTTCGTTTTTTGCGGGGTGGGGGGAGGGACTTGGTATCACTTTTCAGCCCTCTACCCCGAGGGGGGTTAAACTGGAGGTTTGTATGTTGCCGGTTTTTTAACCACATTCTGGATGTGACCTCCCTCCTGCCCACCAAAGCATTTTCCTCTCTCGTATCTTCGTCCATTGCTTCTTTGCAAAGGTCTGTGTGTTCTGGTGCTGAGCTCGTTTAACGGGGTGTGCTTTCCCCTTTCCAGGCCAGTCATGGAAAGCCCTGAGCGCCAGCGACAAGCGCCCCTTCGTGGAGGAAGCGGAGAGGCTGCGAATTCAGCATCTGCAGGACCATCCCAACTACAAGTACCGCCCAAGGAGGAAGAAGCAAGCCAAGAAAATCAAGAGGATGGAACCCAATATCCTTCTCCACAACCTTTCCCAGCCGTGCAGTGACAGCTTCAGCATGAATCATCATAGTGGCAGCCAGTCTGGCCACCACCAGCCTCCCCCACTTAACCACTTCAGAGAACTCCACTCCATGGGGTCGGATATTGAAAACTATGGCTTGCCAACTCCCGAGATGTCTCCCTTGGATGTCTTGGAACAGACCGAGCCAGCGTTTTTCCCTCCTCACATGCAGGATGACTGCAGCATGATCCCCTTTAGAGGCTATCATCCCCATCACCAGATGGAGTTTCCCCAAGAGAAGCCCATGGGGCGGGACATGGCACTGCCCTATGCTCAGACCCCATCACATTTGGCTGATGCTATGAGGACTCCCCATCCATCTAGCATGTACTACAACCAAATGTGCTCTGGACCGCAGAATGTCCTTTCTGCCCATCTGGGCCAGCTGTCACCCCCTCCTGAAGCCCATCACGTTGACAGTGTAGATCACTTAAATCAAACTGAGCTTTGGACAGATGTTGACCGCAATGAGTTTGACCAGTATTTGAACATGAGCAGGACTCGTCCTGAAACCTCAGGACTCCCTTACCATGTCTCCCTGTCCAAAGTGACTCCGAGAAGTATCTCCTGTGAGGAGAGCAGTTTGATATCTGCATTGTCTGATGCCAGCAGTGCTGTCTACTATAGCCCCTGCATCACAGGCTAGGTCTGCCCCACTGCACAATGCGCTCACCCTGGAGAACGTATGACCCTTCAGTGCAGAGTCTCCTTTAAAAAAGAAAAGCCATCTTCCTTTAACCATTGAGCTGCCATAATATTTAGAGTATCTCATTAAATGCATCGCTTTTTTTAAACCATGCTGAAATCACTGATATACTGTATAACTATATAACACAACTAGATGCATTTTCCAACGCAGAGGGTTAACCTAGACAAGAGGTCCGCCTATGGCACTCCATCTCTTAACTCTATGCCGACTGGAAAATATGGCAAAGCTTCTTACACGTTGTTTTCAGCCGGGCATAGCTGTAACACCTAAGATCAGGTTGTTCTACCATGTCTTTAGACAAACTACAGTGATTCATGTCTAAAACAACTGCCAATGGGACCTGCTCAAATTGACCATGTTTAACTGAAGGGCAAACTAAATAGCATGGGGAAACCTTGGAGATATTTTTGAAGTGGTTGTTTTAAGACTGGGTGCCTATTAGAGGTGGTTTTTAGCACAGTTTTCACTGTATTCTCAGCAATATATTTTAACTGGGCAACGAGGCTATATTTTTACTAAGCATTTTTTATATATAAAATTATATTTAATGTTTGGGTTTTTTATTATCAAACTTTTTTTAAAAATAAATCAAAGGATATCCATGAGCTCTACAGCATTTATGTAGCGAGGCTGGATTTTAAAAGAAGAAATTTTGGGAGAAAAGGGAATTATGATATCAATATTGTTGAAGAATTGACTAGAATTCTGTACACTCCCTAAACCCGCCCCAAAATAGAACTGCATACTTTTTTGTCTGGAGAGCAAACTGTCCTCTGGTTTGCATACTGGTTTGCTATTAAAACATCATCATATAATTATTCCCATCTTGTGTGCTTGTTGTGTGAACACATATTTTCCGCAAATGCATGTTGTCCCAACCATTTCCAGATTCTTGGATCACTTGATTAATGTCCTGACAGCCTAGCAATTGTATTAATTTCAATCGTATCACCCGCCAGCGCTGGGAAGCCTTGTAAACGCTCTCCAAAGATATATGAAAGGCGGCTAGTGCTCAGAGAATGTCAGCAGAGACAGTCCTCATGGCTGTCTCACCCTCTCTTAAATTTCTCATTTTGTAAGTGTGAAAGATATGTTCTATGGGGAAAGCATCTGTTCTCAGATAAATGACATTTAATAAAACATGTGATATCCTTCTCTTGACATTTGTGTGCCTCTGTGTGGTTATTATTTTGCTAGCACGGCTGTACACTATCGTATATGGCCTAATCCCTATGAGTTTTTCCCGTACCCTCATTCGAGTCAAAAAGTGCAAGAATGGGGCCCATAAATGCTGCAAACGGGAAAACTTCTAGCCCGGCCAGTGCAGGCTTGTTCCCTGTAACGCATTTTCTAATGCTTTGTTCAGTCTAGTTATAAAACATTCCCAGCGACAGAGCTTCCACCAAGATCGTACGCCCCCATTAGAACTTCAGCTTACGTGTTCCTTTTCATTGTTTCAACCCATTGTTATACTCATTTGGGTCCCCCAAAGCAAATCTTATCCCTCTTTCCTATTTTATGCCTCTCACTTTAATTAGTTCTATTTCTTTCTGGTAAATGCAGCATTTGCACCAGAATATTTACAAAGGAAAATGCCAATCTGTTGCATAAATTGCTAGCGGCATCCGTTCATTGAACGCTGGTGATTTAAACCAGATTGATTGAGCCCAAAAAGGCTACTAAAAAAATGAAGAGATGAAAGGTTTTTGTTGTTGTTGGCAGGGATTTGCCATTTAGGGGAGAGGGATATTTAACAAATGACATGAATTTTCAAGCTTCTCCTAAATCAGACCCACGTTAGTGTTAACAGGCCTAAGTCCTGCCCCATTTTTTACGTGAAGTGCCAATAAATGAACTGAGTGTTTGTTCCCATTAAATTACAGAAAGGAACTCCATTGTGTTTCCATATACAGTATGTAAAAAAAAAAGGGGGGGGGTAGAATACATGGAAAAATGACATCATAGGCTAAACAGGAGAGCTGGCTTCTGGCCACCAGTGGTGTGTCCAGCATGTGTCAGGATCGCCGGCTGAAACAAACAAACAAAGAAATGGGAAGCATCCTGTGTGCCTGGACAAATGACTGCGAAAGGAAACAGCCTTATATAGGCTGAATCCCATTCTAGTCCCCAGAAACCGTCTGGAAGGAAGGAGCAAGCAAGCGCTGACTTATGTTCCAGTTCTGAGCTTCCAAGTACCTTGCATGTTACCATGTGATCACTTCCCGTGATTAAAAAGAAGAAAAGCACCCTCAGCCCCACTCCCATCTGCCCTGGAGCTCTGACAGGGGAAAGGTAATGGGTAGATTAGATCACAGAGGAAATGCTAGTCATTTTCTACCACTAGAATTCCCTTCTTTCCTCCCACTGTTAGATTTGCAAGCTGTGCTAATTCTTCCGCCATCCCAGAGGCTAGCTAGATGATTCTTTGCCTCTTACACTACAATTATTTGGGTCCCCTCCCCCCCCGCATTTTCATGGTTAACTGAATGCTGGTCACGATGCTAAGAATGCAGGGTAACCTCTTCAGAAGTGACTTGGGCACTTCTGAAAATGTCACCAAATCCTATCTGCAGAAAAGGCTCAGTATGGGAAGCAGATGCCCCGTTGATGTGCCCTAATCTTGAGCTGGAGGGGACATCTCTAGAGGTCAGATAACGCTTCAGTGTCCATGGCCCATTCAGACCTTGGCTTCTCTACAAGCTAACTATCCATGGCTGGAGTTGAGTAGATGGCCAGCTTTGTATCCCATCCCCAGTCCCCAAGCCATGCAGCCCTTCACCAAAAGGAATCAAACAGCAAAATACAGGTTTCTGACCATGTGTTGTATGTGGGTGAGGTTCTTTTAATCACTTTGGTGTTGTTTAAGATGTAGCTGCTTAACAGCTGCAAAAATACATGGAGCAAGCGGCTCTTTCTCAGCTGATGGATACATCTAGCCTAGTGGAGAGAGACTAAACTGGCCAGATGTTTGAAGTGTTCCTTCACTCTAGCCGTTGTTTATAATGGGAACGAGTCCCTGACGGCTTCATGGCTCCAGATTGTGTTCTTTTTAGATGGACAAAACCCTGCCCCTGACACACACACACACAAATCTCACTGAACCGATGTCTCGATAATGCACCAAATCAAGCCCCCAGGTCTGAACTGCCCCAGACCTTGGAAGAGTTCAGATCTGGATCCAAAGGTTGAAACTTGGGCCCATCTTTAATTCTGTTCCTGTGTGGGGCTTGCTAAACAGGAGGTCAGTAGTCAAAGGAAGCGGAGAAATGCCGTGTGAGGCAACTGCAAACAGGCATTCGTGCGTGTCGCTCCTTTGGAAAAGTCAGACAGTCTGAACCTCATTCCCACTTCTTCCCCTGTTCCTACAGCCCAGGGCTTTTTAATTCCTAGGCAATGGCTCACCACTGAAGTTAATGGGCTTGATGGGGACCTGCTCTTTTGAGGACTTCAGTAGCTCAGACATAGGTTAAGGGTTCGATACAGGAGTGGGTGGGTGAGATTCTGTGGCCTGCGTTGTGCAGGAGGTCAGACTAGATGATCATAATGGTCCCTTCTGACCTTAAAGTCTATGAGTCTATGAAATATTTCTGCAACAGAGCATTAAGCATCGTACTGTGCATTTCTGCAGTTTAATGGCCATTTGAGACTTAAGCTGTTTAAATCTCTATTGCACCATTGCAAAACAACACTGAATGATGCAGTGCCTGGGAGCTCCATGCGCTTCAACACAAAGGTACTTGCAACAAAACAATCCCCACCCCACCCACACACCATCTCTCATACGTGCTGGGCCAGATCCTCAACTGGTGTGAAGCTGCATAGCTCCATGGACTTCAGTGGCATTGTGGCAATTGACTGCCGCTGAAGACCTGGCCTTCTGTGTTAGTATTAAGCACTGACAATAGCCCTTACTATGGGAGGCTCATTGCTGGATTCTGCCCTGCTCCAAGAGTTCAGCGTTGGTTTTCTTTAATAACACTTGCTACACCCCCGTACCTGTCCGTTCTGCTATTAAGGCCTTTCTTTGACCACCTGCGGTCAAGTCTTGACCAAGACCAACCTAAAGCGTTTTGTAAACGTCATTATAGATCATTACTTCTGCGCAGCCGGTATCCCCCATCCCACGCACAGCGACATGCTTCCCTCACGATGGGTGGACAGCTCTGGGAAGGCAGGGGAATGTGGCTTTTGTAAGGATGTAAAGTTCCCATCAGGTGGGTCATTCTGTATTCATAGGGGTGTCTTCTCCCTAGCCACCCACCAAAAGACGTAGCTCAAATCACCACTGCAGAGAAAGAAGCTGGAGTGATTTACGGTCAGTTAGTCCATCCCATCCCAGGAGCCCCATCTATAGCATTAGCAGGTCTCCTTGCAGGATCATCCTCCTACCAAATCATGTCAGCTGCACCGTTCTCCTACCCATACTCCTAGTGAGGAAGCTCTCCTGGATACACACCCAATGGAAGGTTGAGTCCCCAGGCAGCAGCGTGGCCGGTGGTAGCAGAGCGTTTTCACCCGCAAGGACAGCCAGGGAGATGACAGTGACAAGAACACAACACCCCTCGTCCAACTAGCTCGTGGGCCTGACTGAAGATTAGTTGCTGTTCACATAGGTGGGGTATCTCCTGAATTCTCAGAGGCGTATCCCACAGCCCAGCAAGGCTTTTGACAAATGAGTCATTGCTCCTTAGGCATCACCCTAACTCCAGCTCGCGTTTTCCAGTAAAGGCTGCTCTCTCTTCTACATCAAAGCGGCAGAGGTCTGCCAGCCCTGTGGCCTCCATGAGGCATGTGTGTGTTTTTTAATAATAAAGCATAATTGCAACCAATACCGGAAACAATGCAAAGCTATGCCCTGCACCCGCCCACCCGCAGCCCTACCCAAGATCAGAGAAGCAAGGAAGAAGGAAAACAAAACCACAGCATCATGGCAGATGAAAGGTTAGGAGAGCTCATGTCAGTCGCAGATTTCTGTCTAACCCCTTGGGTGACAAACACCTTGTCTTGATCAGTAAGAATACTGTGCACAAGTCACTTTAAGGAGTTAAGGCTTCACAATATGCCTGGTAGAGGGAGGACAATATTGTTATCCCTGTTTCCCTAGAAAGGTGACTGGGCAAAGGTTGCAGCAAATTCAGTGGTAGAGGTGGAAGAAGGCAGGATTCCCTGCCAAGCTCGCATTCTAATCGATAGACAATCCTTTGTCTCTTTATAAATAGAAGTATAGCGAAAGCATGTGCCTCCCCTGTCCGCTATCCAAATGGCTGTAGGAGGAACCAGATTTGCTCTTCACTTCTTCCCCACTGACAGTGCTGAGTTTGTCTCGATGTGGTTGAGTCCTTCCCGACCGTGCTCTCCCCATAGACTTTCGCTCCTGACATTTGGGCCAATCTCCCCTTTTTGTAGGATCCATGGATAGCTATGAAGGTCTCTCATTGAGTTCTGGATCCCAAAACCACAACTTCTTTATGGGTCAGATTCAACTTCCATTGATTTCAATGGGAGTTGGATGCAGTCATATAGCTGTAGGCCAAGATACAACCTACCCCAAAATCCTTCCAATTGATTTCCCCTTGTAATTTTAAACCTCAACAGAATCCCAGATTACCTTGGGCATCCCATAATGCTATCACCAACAATGTCCCAGAGATACTTTTCTTAATTTTTCATATTTACAGGCTTGGAGGTAGCGTTCTGGGAGCCCAATCTCAATCTTGCAATTCAAAGAATTAACAAATAAGAAACCAACTGGATAGCCTTATATTCAGGAGTATCGTGTCTACTCCATCACAAAACCCAAAAGGGCCCCACCCTGGGCCTGAATTCATCCTTTGTATGGGGCTGCGTCATGCTTTTGGAGCA